AAAATTGAATTATTTAAATTGTAAACTTTTTAAGCCATAAAATTATAATCCCATACAACAATAGGCTTTCGGGTCTATTGTTAAAGCAGGGGTCGCAATATAAGTTTAAAATTTAACGGGAATTTCGTTGAAAATTTTGTTAACCTTTTTTATTTTCACTTCTAAACTGTTAACGATGGTTTGTTGACATAACCTACATTTGAAACTATTAGTTAAAGGACTTTAAAAATGTCTACTGAAACATTAAAAAAAACGGACTGAAATTGTACTGGAGGCCAGTACAATTTCAGTACTTTTTCAGTCCATTCTTCCGCGGCAGTGTAGTTATAACAAATTCATTGTTTAACTATAACTCTTAAAGGTAATTTATTTACAAGTGTTAATTCACTACTAGTAATATTATAATAGTTGATTAAATTTTAGATTGATAGAAATAATAAAATATAGAAATTACGATTATTTATAAAAAGTAGTTGAGCGATTAACAATTCTAAAAAGTAATGAAAACTGGGTTTTTTTCAGTACGTGACAATTTTGAAGTTAAAAAGATAGAAAGTTTTTAGGTGTACAATTTCGGTAGTATTACCTGAACAAAGGATCTGGTCTATAAAAGTAAGCTGTTCTGATTTTATGACTTCTTAAAGGAGTATACTTTTTGGGTATTTTACAATTGTAGAGGAGAACGGGGCGAGGCAGCCAACGGGGTGAGGCAGCCAATTGCTTCTTATTTCTGCATAATTTTTCCAAATCGTGCGCTATTGCATTATTGCTGCAGCAGTTTAGCAATGACAGTATCATTTTTATGAAAACAGACTTTTTATATGTAACTTTTCTAAGAGTTATTTTGGTGATTTTAGTTAATAGAGTTACACGAATAAAATTCTTGTAAAGTGATTTTTAATGCAGAATTTAGTGCTGAAGACGATGGTGTTAATGAAATTCCGATATTTTTAATATTACGGGTTTTGTGGATGTTTCCTTAAAAAAGTACTCTTGGGGTTAGGCAGCCAACACTAAATTTTTCGTCTTTTTGTGTTGATTTTATTGGTTCTTCTAAATGTTTTCTCTTTTTTCCTATTCCAATACATTTTAAACTTAACATTGAATTTTATAAACCATTTTTTAAGAATAACAAATTTATATATCCTTAAAATGTTAAATTGAATTTAATTAATGTTATTATTGTAATATTATTTAAATGTAAATTTTTGAAGTTTACCAACAAAATAAAAGTAAGTTAAGGACAACTACCTTGTTATGTTTCACTAATTTTAACTTTAAGTTATGTTTTTTTTAACTATTAAAATAGTTGGCCGCCTCAGGCTGCGGTTACACCTCTGCAGGCTGCCTGCCTGCGCAGGCAGGAGCAACGAGAGTAAGGGAGAAGTTTGAAGTCACTGACTCTCTTACTCTTGTACGTTACCATGACAACCTGCAGGCAGGCAGGCTGTCTGCAGAGGTGTAACCACAGCCTTAAGGCCAACGCACAACTGCTTCGCGAACGTCGTTCGCGAATGTAAAGCATGAGTTAGAAAAGGTCATAAATATATCTCTGTCCTTTTCTAACCCATGCATTGCGTTTGGAAACGACTTTCGCGAAGCTATATTGTGCGTTGGACTTTACCCCACGTTTTTTCAAAAATGCCAAAATGTGGTCCTTTGGGAAAAGGGTTGTAGAAATTGTTAAGTGCAACCTACGTCAAAATATTCTATGGCGATTTTTTAGCCAATAAGACAAGCTTTCTAACGCGATATTAAAATTGAAAAAACCTATTTAAATAACTGCCTCGCAAACCAAAATGTGCCGTCTTGGCTGCCTCGCCCCGTTCTTCTCTACCTAGTGTTAGAAAAACATATTGGTTTGGAAGGAAATCGAAGAGTTTCGATTTTATTAAAACATCTGTTTCTTAATCTAGATTATCTTTATGATGTTTTAGAAATATTTTGAGTTTCTTAAAGTACAATTACTCATTCTTTAGAATGTTTGAAATAACATCCGCTAAAGCATAAAAATTTGTTTAGGTACTTTATTATACTATTCCTTTGCCATTCTCAGTCTCAGGTTTATATTTATTGAAATATGAATTCGAATATTTTATTTTAATAATTTTGATTTCACCGCGACGTACAATCGTGATTCGATTAATCTCGAAGTGTGATTCGAGCGAGGTAATAGTCGCTCGTCACAGTCTCCACTTGAGGTTTAAGGTTGAGTCCACAATAGGCACTTTTCTTAAAGCGATGCATACCATCTACATCGATTTCTATTGTTCGAACAATGGAAATCGATGTAGAGGGTATGCATCGCTTTAAGAAAAGTGCCTATTGTGGACTCAACCTAAAGTCCAACGCACAATAAGGGTGCGATCCCATGTGAGCAGAATACGTCGACCGAAAGCAGAAAATTATGAGAGTGAAAAGAACAACAATATCTACCTATCTCTTTTGCACTCATGATTTTCTGCTTTCGGTCGACGTATTCTGCTCACATGGGATTGCACCCTAAGGCCAAGGCACAACTACTTCGCGAATGTCGTTTGCGAACGCAAGGCATGGGTTAAAAAAGGTCAGAGATATATTTGTGTCCTTTTCTAACTTATGCTTTACATTCGCGAACGACGTTCGCGAATCTATTGTGCTTTTTATACGTTTTATCAAAGCCTTGTATTTTTATAACAGTATACAGTTTTTATAACAGTAAATAAAAATTGGTTAAAAATGTTTACTATGGCAGGTCATCTATTTGAATCTCGTTTATTTTGTTAAAAGACATTCTTTCTCGTCAATTTATCTTTATATTTGTTTTCTTTGAGTTTGTTATTAATTGTTGATTTATGGGAAAATTATCCTAATAATATCTGTTAGGGTACAGTCACACGATCAATGCATCTGCATGATGCATGCATGCACAAACATTTGACTGATCACACCTCAATTTTTCGCTCTCGAAAAATCATTTTTCTGGCGGGATATTTAAAATTGATTAAAATTTAAAAATAACGTATTACTAATTATTAAAATAAAAAATAAAAATAATTGAACGTTTATTATAAGGAATTAATTGTAAATAAATTTCTCTTAATTTGTGGCATATTTTAATATTGTGAATTTTTATAATTTAAAATATGCCACAAATTAAGAGAAATTTATTTACAATTGATTCCTTATAATAAACGTTCAATTTTTTTTATTTTTTATTGTAATAATTAGTAATACGTTATTTTTAAATTTTAATCAATTTTAAATATCCCGCCAGAAAAATGATTTTTCGAGAGCGAAAAATTGAGGTGTGAACAGTCAAATGTTTGTGCATGCATGCATCATGCAGATGCATTGATCGTGTGACTGTACCCTTACACACTGAATATAGGTTATGCTATACGCCTTATATATAATTCTGACAGTTTAACCGATTTCTGAATAAGAAATTAAACGTAGAAAGATTTGAATCAGTAAACATTTCATTTAATTATTAATAAAATAATAAAAATTGTGTTAATTTAAAAATTGACAACTTATTGTTTAATGAGTGAAGTTATAATTTATTGAGAAATTTCAAAACGCCGCCTTTAAGATATGCCATCAAATGTAATGGCGTACTCACACCTTTGGTGGCTGTCTGCCTGCAGGTTGTCATGGTAACACATAAAAGTAAGAGAGTGAGACAATTGAAATTATATGTTTTCTCTCCCTCGGCCTCTTACTCGAGTTGTTGTGGCTGCCTGCGCAAAAAAATGTGTGAGTGCGCCATAATATACATCATGTAGAAAACTTACAACCTAATGTATACACTGTAAAAAAATCTGGTGTAAATTTACTATGTCCGACGTTGGAAAGTTTGGTCACTATATCCGACGTGGTATTTTTACACGCCGACTGTAATCTACATAACCTGCAAATATTTTTTGAAATAATATTTTCAGTCGTAACTTTTTGTATTTATGAAATATAGCCCAAAACTTTTTGTAATATTATTATTTACTTATAAATTAGCATATACTTTCTATAAATGTACATTATATACACTTTTTAAGAGTTATTTATAAAAACTTGAAAATTTTTTGAAAATCTTAAAGGAATAAGAAAATTACATTCGCCATGTAATTGTACAGATCGTGCGACGTAATATTACGTCAAAGTGTAGAAATACACGCAATGTAAAAATACCACGTCGGACATAGTGATCAAATTTTCCTACGTCGGACGTAGTTAATTTACACAAAACTATTAAATTACATAGTCGTATAATGTAAAATTATTAAAAATAGTAAAACTACTTTTGGAACGAAATAAATTTACTACGTACAACCTATAATTTTGATGTGTGAAATTACAAGTTTCGTGTTATTTTACACCAGATTTTTTTACAGTGTATACACTGTATTCGTATTGGGTTTACTCACGAAGTGAGTTGGATTAATAATTAATTAATATCAATGTTAATTATCAATTGATCCTTTTTATATTCGCGACGTTTTTCCCCCTTTAACGGAAATTATTTTATTTAAAGGCCTTTCTCCAATAGGATCCCAAAGCTCTGCGTTTGTCTGCGAATGACTGCGTTGCCTTGAGGCCGCAGTCCCATGGCAGCGTTTTGCGTTGCGTTGTAATGAGAGAGAATGCAGCAAACGTATATTTGCGTCTTTTTCTCTCCCATTACGACGCAACGCAAAACGCTGTCATGGGACTCCACCCTGATTTTAGCATATGTTGCCATAGCAACCGACGCAACGCAGAGTTTTGGGAACCTATTGGAGAAAGGCCTTAGGCTGCGGTTACACCTCTGCAGGCTGCCTGCCTGCGCAGGCAGGAGCAACGAGAGTAAGGGAGAAGTTTGAAGTCACTGACTCTCTTACTCTTGTACGTTACCATGACAACCTGCAGGCAGGCAGGCTGCCTGCAGAGGTGTAACCGCAGCCTTAAAATTTTTACGTAAAAATAATGTAACTCCGCACGTATCTAAAATGTAAATTCAGCTTATTAGACATACATTCTGAAAATCTGAACTTATGTTTTTGGTACAGACAGTAGCAATCAAAAAATTGTAATGTTTTAAAAATTTATATATATTATTACTCGTTTCATTTAAAAAATTATTTCTTTTTGTAAATAAGGGCAATATTATTTCCCCAGAATTAATATAATTTTAAACAATCAAGAGAAATTGCTTGAAAGTTGCAAGTTCCGGGTGTACTTGCGCTACTTTATAACCTATATTCATAAGACATGACAGGTAATTATTGTGCTTTTTTATGCTTTCAATGAAAATCTGATTAATCAGCTTGCTTCAGTGTTTATTGCATAATTATGTACGTTCAAAGGCTAAAAAATATAAGGAATACATAACCAAAGGGAAATAATTATAAAGTGCAAAAATGGCAGATAATAATACAAACAATGAAACTCCTCTTCGAGAACAACTAGTAAGTATTTTAAATTAATTCCATAATTGCTTTTCATATTCTTTCTAAGGCACTCATAAATTAAATATTCAGTTATAATTAGTTGTTTAACATAACCATTACAGAGTATCCTAACTATAACCTTTGAACCTGTAGAGAATTTGAAAGTTTATTTTCAGAAATAATTTTATTTTATTCATTTAGTTTCTTTTTGTTTATTAAGAAAAGACCGCTTAATAGTTTCTTTTTATTTCTTGTAATTCTACACTGAAAAAAATTATGTGTGGTGATGGCGCTACATTCTCTTGCCTCGAGTGCTCTGCCCTTCGGTTTTCAGGTGCGTCAAGTTGAGTCTCCAATAAGACAAGGTGCGCATCGATGTTCATAGCTATAGGTATACTAAAGTATGCTGTGGTATATCTATAGCTATGAACATCGATGCGCACCTTCTCTCACATTGGAGACTCAACTTCAACGAATCTCGAGAGCAGGTAGCCTTCCCGAATAGACGGGGAGGCTGTCATTCCGATATCTCGAGATTGGTGCAAGGATTGGTGCAACCTCGTATTGAGCACGCGGTATTCTCTCTCGCGGTGAGGTAGCGTTCCCTTGAGAGCTAATCTCCCTTCCGAAATCGGGATAGTACTTACCATCTGATCTGTGTGGTAGCGACATTCGTAGGTAAGGTAGCGACACAGAATTTTTTTCAGTGTATTAAAGAAAGTTATTTTTGTACATATATTTATTTATTTATTCAAATATATACGGGCTGTGCCATTCTACAGTGTACTAATAATAAGAAAAATAACATAATTAATTGCAGAAATAAGTTGGCCGCATTGACATTTGCACGCAAATTTTTAATAAATTATATGTTAGAAATAAATTTAATTTTTTGTTTTTTAGATAAGCACGGCAGTGAAATTTCTGCAGAATCCAAAAGTCTCAGCTAGTCCTTTAAGTCAAAAACAAGACTTTTTAAAAAGAAAAGGTCTCACCGATAAGGAAATACAAAGAGCCTGTGATTTGGCGAATTTGTCACAAAAATCTTCAAGTCAAAATGAATACACAGCTGTGACGATACAACCTCCAAGACAACTATATCCATATTATTACCCAAATTACCATCAACCGAGTTTATTTTTTAAAGTGAAAGAATTTTTTAATCTTGCAGCTTTAATTGGTACTACTGCGTATTGTGTTTACTGGTTTTATAAGGTAAAATCTTACAACTTAAATTCTCAATTTTTTAATTATTTTAATATTAGTAATTACTAGATAATGATTATTTTTTATTAGTTATTAGGGGCCATCCATAAATTACGTAAGTCACTTTTTTTGAAAATTTGACCACCCACCCCCCTTTGTAAGATTTTTTACATACATTAGCGCCATTTTTTCTACGGTTCGTAAGATTTAGCAGACCCACCCCTCCCCCCAAAATGTCTTACGTAATTTATGGACGACCCCTTAGAGCTGTGCAAAATAATTCGAACCGAACTGTTCGAATTTTTTCGCCTAGTTCGAATGTCGAAAATTCGACATTCGAGTTACTACAAAATTCGAACCGAACCGAGTTGTGTTCGGTTTTTAGTACGCTAAAATGTCGAATTCTAAAATTCGACATGTCAGTCGTCCAGTTCGAATGTCGAATATTCGACATTCGAACTAGCCCAGTTCGGATGTCGAACATTCGACATTCGACATTTCGGCGCCCCAAAACCGAAGAAAACTCGGTTCGGTTCGAATTTTGCACAGCTCTATTAGTTATCCTAAGTTATCGTGCAAATAATCACGTGTATTTGCACGCATCGATTTAAACATGTAACACATGTCGGGTATCCCACATGTCTAACAAACGTGTTAATAATTTTTCCTTGTGTATTTAAGGTAAATGTCCCAATTTGTGGACTACTTAAATTTCCACTACACTTAATAGTAAAAAAATGCCTTTTATTTTTTTTACAAAAATTTTTTTCCTATGATATAAGAAGATATATCAATTTTTTAAGCAAATATAACTTTGTATAAAGTCAGGGTGTCTACAACACCTCGAAAACCGGGAAATGTCAGCAGGACTTGAACTAGGTAGGTCCGTAAATCCCGTAAAAGTCCGTAACTTTGCTTAAAGTCCGTAAAAGTACATTTTTTTGAAAAAAGGTCCGTAAATTGTACAATATAATTTGGATAATTTTAGAAAAATCACAAATGATTGTAGAAATTCAATTTTTTTTAAAAGTAATAGAATTCTTTCCAAAAATTCAATTATGTTCAAGAATTTTAATGAAATTCTTGTCAAAATTTCAATTGTTTTCAAAAATTTTCCTCAATTCAATGAATTTTAATAGGTATCTACTATTCTAATAAAATTTTCCAAAAGAATTCAATTATTTAAAAATTTGTTGATAAAATTCTTTATGAGAATTTATTTTTAAGAAGTAATTTAATACTTTTCAACTAACATTTCTGTAGAATTAATTTTTTTTTAAAAAGTTCTCGTCAAAATTTTATTTATTTTCTTTTCAAATAATAAAATTCTTCCAAGAAATTAAATTGTTTTCAAAAATTTTAATAAAATTCTTGGCAAAATTTCAATTATCTTTAGAAATAATTAAATTCTTGTTAAAATTTCAATTATCATTAGAAATAATTAAATTCTTCTCCGAAATTCAATTATTTTCAAAAATTTTAATAAATTTCTTCGGAATCATTCAATTATTTTCATAAATAATAAAATTTTTACAGGGATTCAATTTTTTTGTAAATAGTAAAATTCTTATTAGGAATTCAATTATTTTGATAAATAATAAAACTCATTGCAGAATTTCAATTAATTTTGATTACAATTTTAATCGAATTCCTCGAAAAAATGTAATTATTCTTAAAAATTTTATTAAAATTCGTCAAAAGAATTCTATTATTTAAAAATTTATTTATAAAATTCTTTATGAGAATTCAATTTTAAGAAACATGCAATCATTCAATAAATTGTTTTTTTTTATTTAAATATTTGAATTATAGTAGATAGAGGTGTGCAAAAAGCTCGAAACCCGAAGCTCGAGCGGGTATTTTCGAGCTTTTCATTTTTCGAGCCGAGCCGAGCCGAGCCTATTCAGTTCGAGCTCGGGCCGAGCCGAGCTTTATAAAAAGCTTGAATAATTTCGGGTACTCGAATTTTTCGGGTACCCGAAACTTTCGGGTACTCGAAATTTTCGAGTACTCGATTTGATTCGAGCCCTTGAGAAAATCCAAAATTTTCTACATTAATTTTTAATTAAATTTTTTTTTTTTTCAAAAAAAAAATTTTTTTAATTTAAAAGCTCGAATTAAATCGAGAACTCGAAAATTTCGGTTACCCGAATGTTTCGGGTACTCCAAAATTTCGGGTACTCGATACATCGAGCCCGGCTCGGGCTCGGTTCGGCTCGACTCGAAAAAATTGCGGCCCGGCTCGGCTCGGCTTTTCGAGCTTTTTACACACCTCTAATAGTAGAATTTTCTCATAAAAATTGATTTAAAAATGGATTTCAGTTAAAATTTTGGATTATAATTGAATATTAAAAGCATTTGAGCGTAAATTTTTAGAAATAATTGAATTTTCAAAAGTTTTCAGATTAGAATCTTTGAAAATTTGAATTTTTCATATTTTTAATTAACAATTCTGTGAAATAAATTTTTTTTTAGAAAGTTTAATTGCGAATTTTTTTATATTATTTGAATTTTTTATTTTTTAATATATATATATATATATATATATATATATATATATATATATATATATATATATATATATATATATATATATAGGGGAGAGTGGTCCTAAGTTGGCCGTGGGCCTAAGTTGGCCACCCTGCATTTCTCAGCGATGGTATACTGGACGAATCTATAATTTTGTGGTATGATGTATTGATAAACCATGATATAATTTATGAACCTAATTATAATCTAAGATTTTTCTACGCATTGTGAGGACAATAATATTGTTTTCGACTAAAAAAATTTGATTTTTCTTGTTTTTTCGAGAGCAGCTACAAGAGATAAATAATTAAAAATTTCTATATGAGCGTGTGTGCGCTAGTTCCTTTATTTAATGTTGTAATAAGAGGTTTTGTTGATTTTTTAATTAAATTTTTTTTATTAGCGTAATAATTTGAAACTTGTAAAAATCTACAGTGGTCCTAAGTTGGCCACCTATTGTTTTTGTTTGTTTTTATTTATGTTTTATTTCTTTTTTGTGTTTTTTATCACGAGAAAGACCGTTAAAGTGTAACGTAGGAATTAAACAAAGACAAAAAACAAAAAAAATGGTTTAAAAAACATTAGAAAAAATATAGCCATCCACCACTGTAAATAAATGAAATAAAATATTGCTTCATTTTCTAAACAAAAATAGTTAAATAATGCGTTTTTATTCTCCTAAATGTATCAAATTTGTAAAATTTCTGCGTAATTGAAAAGAATATGCATTTCTTCCTTACACACAAGCGAAAAAAAGTGGTGGCCAACTTAGGACCGCTATTTCTGAAATGTCCAAAATGCAGCTTTTCACTATTTATTGTATTAAGACTACAAAAGCCATTCTATAACGTTCTAAATACCACAAAATTATAGCAGAACGATCTCTGAACACTAATATATACTTGCCGAGGTGATTAAATTTCATTTTGTTACTATTTTCGACCAATTTGCTTAGGCGGCCAACTTAGGACCACTCTCCCCTATATATATATATATATATATATTTAATTGAAGAATTTACGAATTATTGAAATTTCGTAAAGTTGAATATTGTAAAAAAATGGATTTCAAAATTGTCAAAGAACTTTTTCGAAAATTATTAAAAATAATAATTGAATTGATAATGATTTTATCACTCCGTCATCTTTAATTATTATAAAACATGAAGTAATCGATAACTCCGAGTCTTCGACTCGAAATGATCGATTTCTTCATGTTTTATAGTTATGAAAAATTTAATTTATAGTTTTAAGTAAAATTTTCTTTTATTTGACTCGGACTGGTTATATTTTTCTCAGTAATTAATCCGTAAATGGTCCGTAATTTTTCATTTTTGGTCCGTAAGGTCCGTATTTTTAAATAGGGGAGTATAGTCGAGGTTGGACCATTTGCGTTTTTTTGTCAAGTTTACTAGCGCCACCTACGCGCACGCTTGTTGAAGCTTGTCTTAGTAAAACCTAACTTTTTGTTCATTTACATTTTCGGAGCATCGAAAATTGTGTTTTCTGTGACGTCGGTACAAAAAAAGCTCAAAAAAAAGTTTTGTGCATCATATGAAAAACCATTAATACACGGAGAGACTTTTAGTTAGAAAAATTACTTTATCGTATTTCGATATTTCTAATAAAACGTAAGAATTTAGGGATAATCGAGGTATAGTTAGAAGAATTCTAATAAAGATTATGAAAAGACATAGTCAACGTCACTTTTGGTAATAAGTCTCAAAGTTTTTTGAATCTTTTCTGAAGCTTATTATACTAAAAGTGAAGATCAGGTGACGCTACATATATATATATGTCGTAGGCAAGTAGAAAAATCCGGCATTTAGCTTAATGCCTAGGCATTGGGCTGAATGCCGGCAAGTACATAAATGAATCGTGAAAAATGGTTATTTTTCTATTTGCCTGAAATCAATTAGTCATTTAGCTTATTGACTAGGCGTTAAGGAAATTGCCTAAGTAGCACCCGGCAAATAGAAAAATGAGAATATGTGGATGTGTCACTCAACAGAAATATTAAAAAAAAAATGTCAAAATGAATTAACACAAATATTTTATTATCAATAATAATTATTTTTTTATTTATTTATTGCGGCAAACCGCACTTAGAATTTTTTAAAATTGACTTCACATTTTCCAATTGATTTTCATTCCACATACTTCGATTACTACAACCTTTAATAACTTCCTTACATTTTTTTTCGAATATATAACTATCAACACAGGCTATTTTGATAAAATACAACTGTTAGTTGACAAAATCGAAGAGAGACTAACTACGATTTCCAATATTATAATATTGGAAATCGTAGTTAGTCTCTCTTCGATTTTGTACAATATAAATTACAATATAAATTTAATCATCAGTTTTCGAAAGTGTATATTTCAAATTTTCAATTAAAAACAAAAATACTGATTTACAAACAAGCACTCGAATCTATCCCACAATTAATATTGCATTATATTGGAAATCAAAACGTC